GACCCTGCCACTGTGGACTTCGGTGGAGCTCCGTGTGGGGCCACGAACCGTGTGAGGGGTGTGCCGAAATGGGGCGGCGGCGCCATGCGGACCCTGCCACTGTGGACTTCGGTGGAGCTCCGTGTGGGAGGGGCCACGAGCCGTGTGAGGGGTGTGCCGAAATGGGGCGGCAGCGCCATGCGTACCCTGACCTTGCCACTGCGGCTTTCGGTGGAGCTCCCTATGGGGCCATGAACCGTGTGAGGGGTGTGCCGGAATGGGTGTGCCGAAGTGGGGCGGCGGCGCCACGCGGACCCTGCCATTGGAGCTTTTGGTGGAGCTCCTTATATGGGGCCACGAAACGTGTGAGGGTGTGCCAAAATCGTGGGCATGCGGAGAGGAGAGGCAGGGATGGGAGGAGGGGGAGGAGGAGGAGGAGGAGGAGGAGGAGGAGGAGGAGGAGGCGGAGGAGGAGCGGCGGAGGAGGAGGAGAAGGAGGAGGAGGAGGAGGAGGAGAGGGAGGAGGGAGGAGGGAGGAGGGAGGGAGGAGGGAGGAGGGAGGAGGAGGAGGGAGGAGGGAGGAGGGAGGAGGGAGGAGGAGGAGGGAGGAGGAGGAGGGAGGAGGAGAGGGAGGGAGGGGGAGGAGGGAGGAGGGAGGAGGGAGGGGAGGGGAGGAGGGGGAGGGAGGAGGGAGGAGGGAGGAGGGAGGAGGAGGGAGGAGGAGGAGGGAGGAGGAGAGGAGGGAGGAGGAGGAGGGAGGAGGAGGAGGAGGAGGAGGAGGAGGAGGAGGAGGAGGAGGAGGAGGAGGAGGAGGAGGAGGAGGGAGGAGGAGGAGGAGGGAGGAGGAGGAGGGAGGAGGAGGAGGAGGAGGAGGAGGAGGAGGAGGAGGAGGAGAGGAGGAGGAGGAGGAGGAGGAGAGGAGGAGGAGGAGGAGGAGGAGTGGAGAGGAGGCGCGGGGCGCTGTCTCTTCAAAACGAGGACCGCAACCATAGGATGGTTGTGAAAAAAATGGCCTGGCGAAGGACCCAACCATATGCAGTTGTGAGCAGTGCCGTTGTAGGCACTGCATTCAGAGGAGCTCCCTATAGGGCCACGAAACGTGTGAGAGGTGTGTCAAAATGGGTACGGTTGGCGCCTGCGAGCGCAGCCACTGGGGCCGCCGGTGGAGTCTCATAAAACGTGTGAAGGGGTGTTCCAAAATGGGTGTGTGGACGCAGCCACTGGGGCCGTCGGTGGAGCTCAATATTGCGCCACGAAACGTGCGTGTGCCAAAACTGGCTCGGTGGGCGCAAGCGAACGCAGCCATGAGGGTCTTCGGTGGAGCTCCCTGTGGGGCCACGAAACGTGTGAGGGGTGTGCCACAATGGGTGCAGTGGGCGCCTGCGAACGCAGCCCCTGGGGCCGTCGGTGGAGCTCCTTATGGAGCCGCGAAACGTGCGAGGGGTGTGCCAAAATGGGTGCGTTGGGCGCATGCGAGCGCAGCCATGTGTGTCTTCGGTGGAGCTTCCTATGGGGCCACGAAACGTGTGAGGGGTGTGCCACAATGGGTGCAGTGGGCGCTGGCGAACGCAGCCAGTAGGGCCGTCGGTGGAGCTCCCTGTGGGGCCACGAAACGTGTGAGGGGTGTGCCAAAATGGGTGCGGTGGGCGCCTGCGAACGCAGCCACTGGGGTCGTCGGTGGAGCTCGTCATGGAGCCAGGAAACGTGTGAGGAGTGTGCCACAATGGGTGCGGTGGGCGCATGCGAGCACAGCCACTAGGGCCTCCGATGGAGCTCCCTGTGGGGCCACGAAACGTGTCAGGGGCCAGCCAATATGTGTAGGGTCGGCGCTTGCGAGCGCAGCCACTGGGGCCGTTGGTGGAGCTCCCTGTGGAGCCAGGAAGGGGTGTAAAATGGGTGCTGGCATTGTGGCCTTTGGTGGGGCTCCCTATGGGGCCACGAAGCGTGTGAGGGATGTGCCGATGCGGAGATGTGCGAAGGGCAGAGGCATGGATGGGAGGATGGAGGAGGGGGAGGAGTAGAGGAGAAGTGCAAGACGCGGGGCGCTGTCTCTTCAAAACGGTGACCCAACACCACAGAATGGTGGGGAACGAAAACTGGTCCTAGGGTGTTGGAGAAAGGTTGGCCTCTCGGAGGCGTCCTTGTGAGTCTGCGTGGCCACGTGGAGCCGCCTTGGGGCGGTCTTGGAGCCTCTTGAAGGCATATCGGAAGCTAGATTGAGGCATCTTGGACCATGGTGTACGATATTGGAGGCCATCTTGAACTATCTGGGGCCATGTTGGACTATCTTGGACGCTCGAACCCCTCGCGACACGGCCCGTCCAGACGCTGGGAGAAGGGGCCGAGGGAAAGGTAGATTTCCCCCCGAAGGGAAAGAAGAAGGTTGGAAGAACCAATTCGACACCTACGCTCAGAGGGCTGGTGGATTACGCACATTGGGTTTGAGGGCTGGCGGGTGGTATCTCTGGAGAGCCTAGATTGGGATAGCTCAGCGTAGGGCTTGCTGGGTTGAGCTGCGCTGACCACAAGATGCCGTAATTGTACTTCCGTTAGTTGGTGTGGCGTAGCCCCAATCAGCCTTCTGGACGGGAAGTTCAACGTTGAATGTCAAGATTATTATTTTCAGTTCCAGAGTCCGAACTTCATATTGAGCGCCAGGCGCGGGTTCTGCTAACGAAGATGGCCTCAAGAGAGCCCCGAAGGCCTCCAAGAAGGCCCCAAGAAGGGCTCAACAGAACACCAAAAGCTTCCAATGTGGACCCCAAATGGCCTAAGTAAGCTGCCAGGGGGCTCCCACCGTGCTCCCACACTACCCTGACCAATGCCACTCGTCTGGGCTTCGCTGCTGGACGGGCTGGTGGGGATATTTTTGGTCGCGGCCGCGAGACAAGCATCAGGCGGCGAAGGCAACGTCCGGGCCACGGGCGAGGCTAATTGGCTAACACAGGAGCGTTGGCCGGCCCCCTCAGACGGCAGCTGCAGGCTGGGTGACGCTGAACTGGCTGACGTACTGCAAGCTCGGGCACGTGCGCTGGACAAAATGACCAGAATTCAAGTGGCCAACGCAGGACACGCGCAGGACCCGCGAACCTCGGTGGGCAGGTCACTGTGCAAGGTGAAGATGCGATGGCCACAGGGGTGAGTCGCCGATGAGGCGCCGGACTCCAAACGGACGACCTGCGTAAGCCAAGCCGGCTTGGCTGTCGTGAACCGTGGTGCAGCGCACTGGGGGGCTGAAGGTGGGCCTGAAAGGCTGTACCTGGCGCTGAAGGCTGAACCACTCAGCACACTGGCCAGTCCCAGTTGGACCACATCACAGTGTCGGGGGGTACCGTGCGACTGTGACCCATCCAGCGCGCGCCGGCACGGTGCGGCCACTGGGAGTGGGGGAGCCCGCTGGCGTGGTGAGCATCGCCGGCGAGGAAAGAGATGGAGTGCACTGGAGTGGAGGTACCACGATGCGAGCCGGACCCGATCAGAGGGTCTCCAGGAGCACACGTTGAGCAATACCTCGCGGGGCACGCGGCGTTGGCACGGGCGATGTGGTGTAGTCGCAAAGCGGTGTGCCGGGGGGGCTGCATAGTGAGAAGCCGGAGGGCCGCCAGACGCCGGCCCGGCCACGCCCGCCGCAGGCTCATGCCACCCGGGCCCCGAGCCCGCCACCGTGAGCCACGCGGCCCCCCAGGGCCGCACCGAACCGCCGCAGGGGGGGGAAACCAGCCCCAAACAGCGATGGGCGGGGGTGGCCCTGGGAGGGGGGCGCCACCCACAACGTCTTGCCAGAACGTCGGTGGCCCCCGTAGCCCAGAGCGGGGGACACCCGTCTGGCTCCAGCAGAGGGAGGCGAGGGGAAAGCCGCCTCTCCCCTTGCTCAGGTCCTCTCACACTTGGGATGGGAGAAGTGGTTGGTCCAGGGGGTCGCAGCTGATCGCCGCTCAGGTCCGTGAAGATGGGTGCGTCCTTGACAGTTGGTCCTCGGGGGTCGCAGCTGATCGCCGCTGGAGTCGATGTTGCCAAAACTGTGGCCTGCACAGGTCGATCCGCAGGCGCATGGGGGGGGGTGTTCCCGCGGCCGTCCCCCCGCCACCAGCGGATGGGTGGCTGTCGTCGTCGGACAGCAAAGTGGGTGCGCCCGGGATTTGTCTGTCCTGCGGGCGGGTCCCCTGTCGCTCAGGGGGGTGAGATGTCGGGAGCTGGGGGGGGAGTCCCCCCCGCTGTGCCCGAAAAGGGGGGGTCGGTCCACTTGTCCAGTGTGGGTTGTCTAGCTATGCTGCGCCGTGGGTGAGATGTAGGGTACCCTGCGCCCCAGCGGAGGTTGCCCCTAGGTATTACGGCCTGACTGGTGGGGATTTGCGAAGCGTCAAGCATTTCGCTTAGTCTGATCGTGCCCAAATCATCTTAACGCTGCTTACTTTGAGTCACGATGTCGGTCCCCCTCTCCCCCACCGCCCACCCCAATCACCCACCCCAATACACAACAACAAACTCGACGCGGAAGTCCCCATATGCGCAGCCGAAACAGACCAACCGCGTGAGACATCCCGAACAATTGGGCGCGAACTGGGGCATGAAACCACTTCTAACGGCTTCCCTTTGGGGTGCCCAAATGTCACGTTTGCTACATGTCAGTTGTCATGAGTGGGCTTAATTCAATCTGAGGGGTGAGTACGAGTGCGTCTGGGTATGAGTGTCAGAGCGTGGCTGGGTCTGAGTCAGAGTCCGAGTATGTACGAGCTTGAGGGTGACACATCATATTGTGAGCGGTATGAGTGTATGAGTCTGAGTATGGACTGGTAACGGGCCCCGGAAGCCGAAATCAAGGAAAAAACGCCGGAGTGAAAAAATCAGACCCGCGGATCTCTGGGGGGTGCTCCTGGGCGCTTGCCGCTGCCCGCGGAGATGGAGCCCCACTGGCCTGAGCTTCTGCTCTGCCGCGGCCGCAGCTCCGCCATCCCAAGGGGGCTGGCAGCCATGGCTTGAGCCCGCGCCCCCCGGCGCGATGGCCCTCCCGCGCCGGACGGATGGCGGCGGGCGGCAGGCCGCGCGCCCAGGCGGCCTTCTGCACGCGCTGGCGGCGCGGGCGGCTGGTGCTTCTCGCCGCCGCCGCCCTCCACGGCTTCGGCGGGGGCCCGGGCGGCCTCCGCAGGCAGGAGTGCGTGGTCATCCAGGCGAGCGGCGCAGGAAGAGCCGGGCTCGCTGGCGCGAGCCTTCGCGCGTGAGTGGCCCGCGCAGGGGCGCGCGTGAGCGCCCCCGGTTTTTTCCAAGGTCGCGCTTGCCGCGCAGAAAAAGGGCCCGCGCAAGTTGCCGCGTGTCAGGTCGCTGCGCCCTCGCGCGTGAGACCCATTCCCTTTCGCCTCCCAGGTGTTCTAGGCCTCCCAGATGGGGTCGGAGTGGATGGGGTCGGAGGATCGTGCCGCATCGGCGATGCATCGGCGATGCGGCTCGATGCGGAGGCCCAATTTTCTCCACGTCGACGTCGCCGATGCCTCGCCGACGTCGCCAGTGCATCGCCGATGCATCGGCGATGCGGCGAGATCCTCCGACCCCAGCTACTCGGACCCCACCTAGGAGGAGGAGGAGGAGGAGGAGGAGGAGGAGGAGGAGGAGGAGGAGGAGGAGCAGGAGGAGGAGAAGGAGGGGGGGGGGGGGAGAGGGGGGGGTGGAGGAGGAAGAGGAGAACGAGGAGGAGGAGGAGGAGGAAGAAGAAGAGGAGGATGAGGAGGTAGGAGGCCTCTCTGTAGGTGTGGAACTGCCTGGCCACCCAGCCGGTGCCCTGCCGCCGCTCGCCGTCGCTCCTGGACGCGCCGGTGCCGCCGGCGTGCCGGCCCGGCAAGCCGGTGGCGGCGGTGGAGGTGCGCAAGCAGTGGCGAAGCGTCTTGGCTTGCCTATCGAAGCGTCCCGGCGTGCCTGTAGGCCCACCAGTGGATGTTCGAAGAGCATTTTCTTGTGGTTTGCACGGAGTGTTTTCGGAACGTTTCTGGCCGAGGCTGTCGTGTCTTAGCACATCGGGTTTAGGTTCTGGGAGCAGTGCTTTCGTGATTAGAACAGTTGGGGGTTCCAAGACCATGTCGTGGTAAGCCTACAGTCAAGACGCTGAAATAAGGAACAGTTTGGGTTCGGAAGGGGCTCGACGTTCCTTAGATTCCTCTAGTGCTGTTCCTCTTGCCCTGCTGGGGCACGGAGGCGCTTACAGGGCCAATAAGGGGCTTCGTTCCTTATTTAGCATTCCTTCTTTCAGCGGCCCGACTGTATCGAAGCGTCCCGGCTTGCCTGTAGGCCCACCAGTGGATGTTCGAAGAGCCTTTTCTTGTGGTCTGCGCGGAGTGCTCTCGGAGCGTTTCTGGCCGAGGCTGTCGTGTCGTAGCACATCGGGTTTAGGTTCTGGGAGCAGTGCTTTCGTGATTCGAACAGTTGGGGGTTCCAAGACCATGTCGTGGAAAGCCTACAGTCAGGGGGCATTGCTTTCGTAATTCGAACAGTTGGGGGTTCCAAGAGCATGCCGTGGTAGGCCCATGGGGGTGCCGGGACGCTCGGCCCCTGCTCGAGGTGCGGGCGGGGGGCGCGGCCTGGCTGCAGCTCGTGGGCGGCCGGCGGCTCTTCGTGCCCCGCGCGCACGCGGTGACGGGAGCGCCACTCTTCGAGCCCGCCGCGGCCGTGGACGCGGGAGGGCGGGGGCGGCTCGAAGAGCTCTGGCTCTTCGAGCTCAAGCAACAAGTTTCGAGGCCTCAGGGCGTGCGCTCCGAGGCCTCCTCGTCCGCCCCCTGAGCGGCCTATTCGTTCCTCCTACTCCTCCTCGTCCTCCTTCTCCTGGTCACAAGCAGAAGCTTCTGGCGCTCCGCGCGGATCTCTGGGACCCGCGCTGGGCACCACTGGCGGCGCCTCTGGCGCCGCCCCTGGCGCGCGCCAGGGAGGGGGCGTCCAGCGCAGATCCAAGAGATCCGCGCGGAGCGCCAAAAGTTGATGTCCGTGGCGTTTTTCTTCCTCTAGCAACGGCAGGGGCAGAGTTGAGGTTTGCGGGCGTGGTCGTAGGTTTTCGATGGCGTTCCAGCCTCGGGGTTGCCCTCCAGCGGCTTGCGCCGCGCCGCCCCGAGAGGGTGTTCCGGGGGTGCCCAGGGCGTCCCGAAGGGCCCCGAGTCATGACCCAAAACCAAAGGCAACGTCGGGGGGGGTGGGTCCAGGGGGGGACGCATCGGGCCCCGATCGCCCATTTATCGCCGATTGGTGCCTGGTAGCCCGCCCCGCCCGGGACCGCACGGATTTGCTGTCGGGAGTCTATCGCCGAGCTCTCGGCGATGTGTCGCCCATTCCCAGCTCGATGGTTCCTCTCTTGAGCTGGTCCCCCTGAGGAGAGCAGCCGCTGGGCGAGTTCTGGCAGCTGCTGGAGGGCCACGGGCGGCGGGAGCTGCGGGAGGCCGAAGCCGAGTACCTGGCCGAGGTGTCGGCCTGGGAGGCCTACGACAGGGGCGCGGGCCAGGCGGTCGCTGAGCGGCCAGACAGGTTCGAGCAGCGCACGTCAAACCGCTCGTGGCCTCGGGTGCGGCGTGCGCACGCCGTGAAGGCGCGCATCAATACCGCCGTCTCGGATGCAGCCGCCCTGGCAGCCCAGCAGGCAGGGCTGCCGCCCTCCAGCGCGCAGGCCCTCGTGCTGGACGCCGCCGACGGCCAGACTGCGTCCGCCCTCGTCGCGAGGGGCTTCGTCGGGTCCCGGATACTCGCCCCGAACATCGTCCCGTCGGTGGCCGAGGCCTTGAGGCGCCGAGGCGTGATGGCGTGGGCAGGGCGCGTGGAGGACTTCCTGGCCGCGCCGGCGGCCAGGGGGTTGCAGCTTGTCTACCTGGATCACACGGGCGCCCTGCCCTCCCGGGCCGAGCAGATCCGCAGGGCCTTTGCGAACCGCGTAGTCTGTGACGGGGGCTTCCTCGCCTGCACGTTCACCACGCGCCAGGGGGACTGGGCCGAGGGCGCCGGGAGCCTGAGGCCGTGGCTTCCAGGCGGCTGGAGCGACGCTCACGCCTTGTATTCGGCGGAGGCACAAGGGGTGGGTAGCCCAGGGGCGGGCAGCACAACATGCACTCGCCAGCGAGCCTCGTTGAAAACATGTGCGATCGGAGCCCCCGGATAGCATGTAATGCCCCCCCCCTCCCTGGGCCCTGGACTATCCGCCCCCTGTCGCAGCAGCCGCGCATTCGCTGATGCACGTCCTGCTCGTCGCCGCGGCAGAGCACGGCCTGGAGATCGAGGGCGCGGACGTGGAGGGCCTCAACGACTACGACTTCCACGGCGCTGCGCGCCTCGACCGCAGTGACCGCAGGCAGTGCGGCGAGGGTCACGGGCGCGCATGCTCAGAGGATCTCGAGGGCGTCGCCGCGGCGCTCGAGGGGGACGACATCGCCGCCCTGGCCGAGCGCGTCGCGGCGTGGGACGAGCCCGCGGCCCCAGGCCCTGGCCAGGCGAGCGACGAGGGCCTGAGGCGCCGGGTGGTGCCAGAAGTGCCCTCGGCCCGAGGTGTCCCCAGGAATGCCTGGGGAGCCCCCCAGGGGTGGCCCCACAGGGAGAGCATCAATGGCGAGGCCCTCAGGCGACCCCAGGGGCTCCAGCATGGCGCGAAGAGCTGGGAGCACCTTGGACCACCCAGAGATCCGATGCCTTGATGACTGCTTCCATACCTGCGTGGTCCCCAGAAGTCCCAGCCCATTCCCCGGCGCGACTTGCAGCCCGAGCCGTTCCTTGACGGTCCAGGGGGCCCGGCGAGGGCCTCCAGAGGGCGAGGGCCCCTGGAGGCCGCAAACGGCGAAAAACCTCCGTCTCGGTTTTTGTCCATAGGTGGGATCTCTGGGCAGGACCTTGGGACCATCACACATCGATCCGCCTCTAAAACGGGTCCATCAGTCCTTCATGGATCCTTCTACCCCTCCTCCTCCTCGCCCTCCTCGTTCTCCTCGTCCTCCTCCTCATCCTCCTCCTTTCCTCCTCATGCTCCTCCTCCTCCTCCTCCTCCTCCTCCTCCTTCTTCTTCTCCCACTCCTCCGTAGCCATTTGTGGCGCAAGTCGGCTAACTTTGCTTTTGTTTGCTCTGATTGAGGTTCTGCTCTCTTCTGCGATGGATGATGTTCATGCTTCTTTGTCTTGTCTCAATGGACTGGTTCTGCGGCTTATTTCTGCTTATTCTGCTGAGCATTCTTCTGGTCTACAAATGGCTGCCCACGGGCAGCGGCACGTTCTCTCATCTTCACTGAGGCGTCGCATTCGTCAACTGGGGATCGCTGGGCAGGTGCTGAGACACTTCACGGCCCCGTGGGCCGACCGGTTTCTCATTGATCTGGAGTGCGAATTTCAGTGTGCTTATCCCGAACATGCAGATTGTCTCTCGGCCGTGTGTGCGCCTCGCTTTGTTTCTAGGCGTGGGCGGCGGGCTGCTGAGTTCAAATTCGATTATTCGGCACCAGTGTTCGTGCCAGCTCCCGTGCCGCAGGCGGCAACGGCGGTCGCCCAGCCAGGTCCAGCTATTATTATGGATATTGCGAGGCTGCTTAGTGAATCACGTGAGATGTATGATTCGCAGTTGCTTGCATATCAAGGCTTAGTGGATGCCCAGAACGCGACAGTGGCGAGACTGCAGGGACGACTCGATCGGATGGACGGTCAGGAGGTCTGCTGTCGCTTGTCCTCTTCCTCTGCGGTTTCGTCCTCCTCTTCTCCTTCCGTGGATCCTGGCAAGGCGGACGACGCGGAGGGCTCAGAGGAAGAGGGCAGGTCTCGCCTTGTCTGCACCGACTTTGTTGCTCAACTTGACGAGGTCAAGGCTACGTTTGATCATCAGCTCGACGTCTTCGGGCAGAAGGCGCGTGAGTACACAGAACGCATGGTACGTGAGGGTCTTTCTGGCGTTGCGAAAGCGCTGCCGAATATGGTGTCCACACTGGTTGACTCTTCTATCTCTGCGGTGGTGACCAAAGCTTTGGAGCCAGAGTTTGAGCGGATCGCAGCTTCGGTTGCTGACCGATTCGTGGCTCTGACCAGTCGTCTTGATGCGTTGGAAGTACGTGCCCCTCCACCGCCGATGGCCCGTGGGCGCTCATCGGAGGGATTTGCGGAGAATGAGGTGTCCCGTGGACGCTCCCCTAGCTCGGCTGGAGCGGTGCGCCTCTGCAAATATGGCAGCCAGTGTTATCGGCGGGATTGTGTTTTCCATCACCCAGAAGGGCGCCATTCGTGTCTGGACGGGGAGCCGTCGCCGGCTCTGGTCAAGGCGCCTCCTGCACCACGATCGCAGATTCAGAACGGTAATAGTGAGGTTCTCCGTGCGACTTCTGGTGCGTCCTCGTCACGGCCGCAGAGAATAGAGGCGGTGGCCACCCCCATCGACTACTCGAACTTTCAGCTCATTGCAAACATAGTGGAGGTAGAAGAGCTGCACGGCCAGGTGCTTTCTGAGCTGCTCGCTGACTATGACCTACCCGAGCCTGAAATTGACTGAGACTTCATCTTCGTCAGAGTGAAAGAACTGCCTGCACTGGGGCAGTGGGTCTCCCTCGTGTTCTGGTTCGTCTTCTATTCCATCAGCTCCATATTGAATTATGCTGTTTATCTATCGTGCTTCGCTGTCTCTCATTACCTGCCGTGCAGGTGACGGATTATTGGAGAGTCTGCGGACAGAGGAACCCTTTTGGGCACGCTCGACCTCCTGTTCCCGCTCCTCCTCCTCCTCCTCCTCCTCCTCCTCCTCCTCCTCCTCCTCCTCCTCCTCCTCCTCCTCCTCCTCCTCCTCCTCCTCCTCCTCTCCTCTTGGCCACTTCTGACCACCTCTGGCGGCGCCCGAGCAGGTGGCTCGTGCTCAAGGCCCGCCGCGCGGCGGCGCGCGTGCTGGCCGCCCTGGGCGGGGAGGCCCCGCGCGTCGTGGGCGCGGCCTGGCGCTCCGGGCAGCGGCGCGGAAGGCCCCACGCGGTGAGCGGCGTCGTCGTCGGCGTCGGCGTCGGCGTCGGCGTCGGCGTCGTCGTCGGCGGCGTCGGCGTCGTCGTTGGCGGCGGCGTCGGCGTCGGCGTCGACGTCGGCGCCGGCATCGGCGTCGGCGTCGGCGTCGTCGTCGGCGGCGTCAGCGTCGTCGTCGGCGTCGTCGTCGGCGTCGGCGACAGCGGCATGGGCATCGGCGTCGGCGTCGTCGGCGTCGGCGGCGGCGGAGTCGGCGTCGGTGTCGGTGTCGGTGTCGTCGTCCGCGTCGGCGGCGTCGTCGGCGTCGGCGACGGCGGCGGCGGCATCGGCGTCGGCGTCGTCGGCGTCGGCGTCGTCGGCGTCGTCGGCGTCGGCGTCGTCGGCGGCGGCGTCCGCGTCGTTGCTGGCGGTGTCGGCGTCGGCGCCGGCGTCGGCGTCGGCTGCGGCGGCGGCAGCGTCGGCGTCGGCGTCGTCGTCGGCGTCGGCGTCGGCGTCGGCGTCGGCGTCGTCGTCGGCGGCGTCGGCGTCGTCGTTGGCGGCGGCGTCGGCGTCGGCGTCGACGTCGGCGCCGGCATCGGCGT